CCTCCCTCCCTCCCCTCCCTCCCTCCCTCCCCTCCTTCCTCCCTCCCTCCCCTCCCTCCCTCCCTCCGTCACTTTCCCACCAACCTCCCTGCTCTTTCTCGCCCCCTCCCTTCCTCTCCCCTTTGCTTGCCTGATCGTTCGCTAGCTCCCTCCCTCTCCCTCTTTTCTCATTGCTTTCTCCTCGTTCAGGCATCTGGGACAATTATCTTCTCAACGGAGAATCCTTTATGATCAGGTATATTCCCTCCTGTCCTTCCCTACCTTCCTCTCCCCTCCTTGCTGTCCCTCTCTCCTCCCTTTCCTCCTCCTCCCCCCCCTTATTCCCCTTTCCTTTTGCCTGAAGTTGCACCATGCAACGTGCTTCCCCTCTCGTCCTTCTGCTCTCCTCGTCCTCTAACGTCCCATACAGAGCTGCTCTTGGCGTCCTCAAGTGGCTTTCAGCACAACTTGTCGACATGGTTACTTTCTCCTCCTCTCGTCCTCTCCTCTCCCCCTTCTCTCTTCCTCCTCTTGCTCCTCCTTTCATACTGCCTGTGACTGTTATATTCCCACAGCCCTTCGAGGATCTCATGGTTACCCTTACCCACCTCCACAATCAGGTTGCAAACCTTTACATTCCTCCTCCTCCTCCTCCTCCTCCTCCTCCTCCTCTTCCCTCCCCCCCCCTTCCTCTGTGCACCTGTTCCCCCCGCCCCCTCCCCTCCCTTCCGTAGCAACCTCTCCTCCCCTTCTCCCCTCCTACTGATGCCCCTCCCTCCCTCTGCTACCTGCTCTCCCCGGCCTTCGATCTCCTCAACTTGCTCTCTTATCTATCAGGTGGACATCGAGGAGGAGGAGCTCTTCGACGCCATCGCCTCCATCAAAGTTCGTCCTCCTGCACTCCCTCCCCTCCCTCACTCGCGTCCTTGCAGGTCACCGAGGAAGAGTTCGCCGCTGTGCTCAAGGCCCAGAAGGTGATCTGTCACTGTCACTGCTGCTGCTGCTGCTGCTGCTGCTGCTGCTGCTGCTCTGTGTTTCTTTTTTCTCGCTTCCACTTGAATCCTCTCACAACCGAACGCAGGACGCATCAAATGCCAGCAAAGAGCTTGCGATCGGCTCGACAAATCATTGGTGAAGGAGCTGTCACAGAGGAGGAGGAGGAGGAGGAGGAGGAGGAGGAGCCAGACCTACTCTGAAGGAGGAAAATTCAATAAACAATCGCCACTTAAGGTCACGACAAATAATATTAGAGGCCGCCAGGTCCGAGGAGGAGAGCTTTGTCCGCTGCACGAGGAAGTGGAGAAGGAGGACGAGGACGAGGACGAGGAGAAGCAAGAGGAGGAGGAGAATGCAGTCAGTGAGAAGCAGCCGCATGCTCGCCAGCAACTCTTACCCATCCTAGTGTTGGCCTTGAAGTCGGACTTGATCGACTGTCTCAGCGCCTGCAGACGAGTGCGGGTGAACGAGAGAAGGACCTCAGGGACAAGGGAGAGCAGGGGAAAGTAGGTGGACGAAATGAAGGGAGGAGTCAGAGCTAGGAAGGAGGGAAGGAGGGGAGGGGATGGGAGGCAGGGAAGGAGGGAGAGGAGGGAGGGAGAGGAGGAGGGGAAGTGAAGAGGGCATCACCTCCATCTGCTCCCTGATCTTCTGCTTCTGCTGAGCTGAGAGATGTTTTGACTTCCCCGCCTTGAGCGACTCGTCGGGCGCCTGCGTTGCATCGTCAGCCAGAGCTCAATACAACACAGAAGAATGAAGATGAAAGAAGATCAACAGCCGCCGCTGAGGTTGATGATAATGATCGGTGAGAAGCATAGGAGGAGGAGGAGGAGGAGGAGGAGGAGAAGGAGGAGGAGGAGGAGAAGGAGGAGGAGGAGGAGGAGGAGGAGGGGTGAGTGCGGAGGGTGGGAAAAGTAGGAAGGAGAAATAGTCTATGCTCAAGTGGTGGTTGAGACAACAGGCAAGGGTTTGAGTTTCCTACCCTCCAGCTGGCGGCGTTGGCTGCCGCTGCCTTGCCGATCTCAGCTGGGGTCATCATGGCGTTGCTGCTTATATGTCAGGGCCGGCAAGTTTGCGGGGTTAGGGACCTGGAGGCGTACTGGGGAGTCGCGCTTGACTGGTAGGCCATCTGAGTCTGCTGCGCCATCCCGTTGTATGGCTGAGGACAGGAAAGTCAAGGGCGACAGGGGAGAGGAAGAGGAAGAGGAAGAGGAAGAGGAAGAGGAAGAGGAAGAAGGGAGGCAAGGTGGAGGAGGAAGAGAAGGATGCGGTAGGAAGGTCAACCTGGTAAGCCATTGGCCTCTGCTGGAGGGGCTGTGCGTACACGGGCTGCTGCATGGGAGCATATTGCTGCTGCATGGGAGCCTGGGGATACGACGGCTGGTACATCTTCAGGTAGCGAGGTCAGAGGAACAAGATGTCAGGAGAGGAGGGAGGGTGGAGGCCAAAGGAGGGAGGAGGAGCAAGTGAGGGGAGGAGGTTAACAGGAAATCGAGGAGGGGAGGGACAGGTAGGGAGGAGATGGACAAGGGAGGCACCTGCTGAGGCTGGTACGCCATCTGGTTGTTGGGAACCTGCGCCGGGTAGGAGGAGTAGGCCATGGGCTGTGGTGCCTGCTGGTAGTACATGGTGGGCTGAGCCACAGCGGCGACAGGATAAGCGTAGGGACGAGCAACAGGGGGCTGGAAGCACAACGAAATGTCAAGAGTTCGCTCACCGCCTCCTGCCATGCTCACCTGCTCGGCCAGCTGCTGGACTGGAGCTGCGGCCGACTGCTGTGAAGAGACCAGAGTCAAATGGGAGGAGGCCAACATGGCGTGAGGACCTTAGGGAGAGAGTTGAGCTGCTTCATGGCTGCTTGCTGGATCAGCTCCTTGGTACTCAGCTGCTCGCAGACACGGTCAGGTCACTTCTCTCACAGAAGCTCCTCACCTGCTGGGGTTCACTGGACAAGAACTGCTGGTCAGCCTTCCCCGCAAGCCCCGGGTTGCCTCCCTGCCGACCCAGCGTGAGTGGACGGGAGCGACACTTGGACAGGAAAGCGTTACCGTTGCAGAAGGAACGGCTCGCTGGCTGAGAGATTGAGTCGCGTCCCCCTGAAAGTTACTTCAGATCCCTGCCTGCTGGAGATCGTAAGCGGCACCTGCGGGTATGCGCGGAGAGCAGCTTGAGAAGGAGAGATCAACTTGGTTTGACCAAGAGTTTGCTTGGCAGTGTTGAAGTTGTACTCCTGCGTTAGCCAGTCAATCTCCCTGCCTCCTCATCCACGCGATTGGATCACTTCGCGAAGCTTCGAGGGGAGGATGTGAGACTTGGAGTTTGCCATGTTGAGAGCGTCAAGAGCTTCCTTCTGCATCAGACCTATCAGCGCGAACCTCCAACACTGGAGGCTCCAGCCACCTGCTTCCTCTCCGACAGCATCGAAGTCCTCGATCCCATCTTCGAAGCCGCATCCAACGCCGCCACGAAGTGCGGAGTCATCAGCTCGTCCCCTCTACCTCTACCGCATCAGAGCCTCCACCAACCCCCTCGCATGCGCCACCTCGACGACGCGGTCAGCTTCGCTTGCATGGCAGCCGCCAGCTTCTGGTTGAGCCTGCTCTGTGCGGACGCCTGCAAGAAGGCACTCAATGGTGGCCTCGCACACAGACAGTCTGCTTGCTACCTTCATCTTGCGCTGTGCAGTGTGCTTAGCTTGCGCCAGTTGTGTTGTCCCCGTCGCAGACTTGAGGTTAGCGTTCGGGAGGAACGATCCGAAGGTCTGGAGTGCACATCGTGAGTTTCACATGCTGTTTCCTGCGCACAATGGTTATACCTGCATGTAAGCAGCGTTCTGCGTCGGGTTTCTTGCCTGCGGGTCAGCGTCAGAGAGCTTCCCCACAGCAATCTTCTCCATGCAACGTACAAGCATCGCGTTGTGATCCATTCCAATGGTCATGGCCGACAGACCCTCGTCCGACATGAGGCTGGTAGTCTACAGCAACATCACTCCTGCTGCATCCTTGCCGAGATCAACCTACCCGATAAGATTGACTCGCAGACTTCCATCCCACGACAAGTAGCACTCCACAAACCAGAACCACGGACAAGGCCTTCATGTTGAAACTGCACGAGAGTAAGCAGTTGCAATTGGAATGAGGGTCAGTTGTGGATGCACAGCTATTAATGGTGATGATGGTACTGGTTCACTAGTCAACACAAGCTCCTTGTACACAACATTATGAGATCGCGAGCAAATCTACCCGAAACCACTGCTTCATGTGTTAACAGGTTTGGAATTCAGTCACAACATCCTCGCATCCAACAAGACGTCGTCACACAGCCGCGCACATCATGGACATCCTCCATCGCTCCCCCTCTTCCCTCCCTCTGCCCTCTGCCTCCTGCTCTCTACTCCTCGTTTCTCGCCATCCCCTCCGACATGGCGCAGCCTTCGACACACCCTATTACCACCAGTAAAAACTCAATGACAAAAGGGGGTGGGGGGGTCCTCGAAAAGCCACGATGAATGTTCTTTGTAAAGAACAAATGTTTGTTCTTTACAAAGAACAGCTGGGCGACTTCACTGAGTCAACTCGGCGGCGCCCGGCCTTTAAGGCTTGCAGGGGCCTAAGTTGGCCCGACCCTGGCCCGACAGTACTCGTTGAACTTCGGAACTTGACGACGACAGGCGGCCGTCACTGGGCCCGCCGCCGCGCCCGGCCGGCACCGTCGGTGCCGCGTGGCCCGTGGGCCACTGCGACCCGTGACCGTCCGGTGACAGAGTCACGTTCCGACACAATGGCATCATGCCAGCCACCCCCGGGCCCGGCGCCGCGAGTCCCGAGTCCGATCATCCCGGACCCGGCGGCCGTCAGGCGGTTGCCATGATCACTGAGTACGGTCGAGTCCAGACTCGGATACCACATACTACGATACTGAGCCGCTTGGTCCGAGTCCGACTCGCCGCCCGGCGGCCGCTGAGACTCTCACTCATCATCCTGATGATCCGAGGCTGAGATCATGGCACAGGCTGCCGCACTGGGTCGCCGCCCGGGGTACCGTGTCGGATGCCGCACCGTGCCGCGGCACGGTACGGTCGGAGCCTAGTCAGTGTACGGTCGTCGGAGGCCCGCCTGCTCACGCCGGTCCGATCCGCGGGCCGTCAGCCTGGTCGGTGACGCCGATGCCGTTCACAAGGCCATATGCAGGCTCTAGCAAAATTGGTCTTTTTTTTTCTCCTTGGGAAGGGGTTCATATATACACTTCCATTCAGCTACCCCGGTTTTTGCTCTATAACTGGGGGGTAGTGAGACAGGGATAAAGTAGGGTGGGGTGATTTGAATTATACTGGCGTGGTACCCTGTCCCCCGCCTTACTTTTTGAAGCACCTCATTTTAATTGTTTAGTCAGCGCTTCAATCGTACACATCTATGTACGGATGAAGTGCCTCTGGTACAGTCTGTACTATTCTTTTAAAGTGGTTTCGACAGGCGTCTCGAATCAGCCTCCACCCTAGTGACTTCCTTTGTCAGGAGGGGTAGAGGACCGAAAGATTCTCTCATACCCGTGCATTTCACTGTATCACGGTACGTGGGGGTGCTAATGGAAAAGAAGGCATTTCGATTGCCGTTTGAGCTCACCACGCCAATACCCCCGATTCCCCTTCATCACCTTTACGAAAGCGGCGGGGTGGGTAGCTAGCAAAGAATACAAATCTACCCTTTGATTCAAGAGTTTGAAATTGGGAAATAGGGGGTAGGGTGCTATCTCCACTCCCCCCAAATCCCCCCTCCCTAGGCAAGCAAGAGATGGCTGATTGATCCTTCACCCGCATGCAACGACAAGTCATCATGGTGAGAGGCTTCGAATCTATTGCTGCTTGAATGTGGATGAGAATTTAATCGTCTAATGTATCCATGTAGATAGACTAAGACCTTTTCTTAGTCTCTGACTTTGAAAGAAAGTTTTGAATTCCGCTTCTCTTACATGACTGCATGACAGAGAAAGCTGTCTAGGAATGAAGATGTCTTTAGAATACATTGCAAAAGATGAATACACCTTTTCTGCTCTCTTATTCGTTGCTTCAAGCATGAGAGCCGTATGTACGAGGATTCAGAGAGGAAGTATGGTTTACAATGCTGCACCATCAGTTTGCAAATGAGGTGCTTTCATGCACTCCAATCTTGCAAATATGCTAGAAACATTCAATTATTTGCAGTTCAGATCCTCAAAAGCAACATCTTCACATTATTTCTGCTTGAGCATGCATTCAAAATGCTCAAGGATCAACATGCTCCACGTAGCTGTGGCGACATGGAGAGTCTGTTTCAACCACAGGATGAGAATCCTACAGCAATCAATGTGGCTTACTAGAGCTACAAGCATACATTGTGCATAATTAGGTTTATTTGCAACTTTTTGATGTATCTCTGCTATGCAGGCACAACGAAGATACCAATGTGAGGCTTATTGTGCTGACCATTGCGCATGTATTTGATGCTACTTGCGGTTGTCATTGTAATTAGATTGTTGCAAAGAATGATGAATGTATAAAGATTTCCTCATGAATGTATAAAGATTTCTGCAATCAGATCACTACCACTTGTGATGTCGATCCCAAGCTTACAGTGAGTCGGAATGGTCTACAGGGGAAGCGATGTTTTCATCATCATTCAACCCCTGCATGCATTCTGCATTTATGTGAAATGAAAGAAGATACAGAAATGCTCTTTAGCATGGCCTCGAATGCAAGACTGAGATCACTTTATTTCACAATAGAACAAATAATACATGTGTGCATACTGTGTTGACGGTTCAAATGTCCGACATCACAGCTAGATGAACGCTCAAAACTAATCCCACGCATCAAGAAATCAACACACTCTGCAAATCTCAGAAGTGGAGACTCTCGACGGTGTTCAAGGCTTAAGATGTCTTGATTGCCTCTGGCGGCATCAGTGTTTACATGCAATCAAACATCCTCACTGCAGTGGGCGAAATGCATGCAGAAATCTTGTGAAACAATCTATGCAATGCTTGATGTCTAATATAACAAGTGAGCTTGACTAATTACGTGGATCTGCAACATGATGCAATCTCCATCAAACAAATCTTCAAGGCATCGCATGTGGAAAATATGCAATTCAAAAATCATTCATCGCAGGGAAGTATCTTATGATTATTCTGCGCTGCCATAAGGTTGGTGTCAAGTCAAAATGACAAGCGATCTCCTACACTGGATTCAAACCTCATGTTTTCATCATCTTGTTCTTCATAATAACCTTTTGAACCATGGATCTCACAACGCCATTGCTGCACACTCTGTTGTCACCGAACGCATCACCACGAACCTAGCGGTCTCAGGTCTCAAACTGTGCTGACTAGAGAGCTTCAAACCTAACAAAGCCTTGCATGCTGAGATCTGATGCTGGCTACAGCAGCGGATGGTCTTACAGCGGCATCGTTGGAGGAGCAGGTTTGGTGCTACGTGCCGGCGTGTAGGGGAGACATGAGTCGGGCGTGTACGATGTTGAAAACATTTCAACCCTCTGAAATGAAAGTTAAAATACATGTAAAGGCCTAGCAGAAATGATAACTAAACTGCACTGGTACTCTTTGGAGGTATCTCTTGCTGCCGTTGAAAACTTGTTTGAATTCACACGCCACCCCAAAAAAAACTTTCTCGAAAAGAAGAGTGGAAATTAACGAAAGGGCTAAAAGTGAACGGCACGCGGCCCGCGGCGGCCCGGGCCGTCCGACGGGCCCGGCCCGACGCCGGGCGTGACGCCGAGACTCCCGGCTCCTCATCCTTGATCATCCGATCGGACCGTACCGTACCGTGCCCGTACTATCAACTCAGTGTGCACGGCGTACAGTCCGATCACAGAGTCAGCACCGGGCCGCCGGGCGGCCAGGCTGCCGCATGTCCGGCGCCGCCGGTCGATTGCCATCGTGCCACAATGACGGTTGAAGTGATCGGATGATGGCAGGAAGTTGAGGGATCGCATCAGTTGATGATCACAGGCAAGAACAAGTGAACGATTGAGCCAAGGAGCAAGCCTGCAACGTTGGAATTGAAATGCTTGCTATCTGCCGAAAAACACGAAAAGCAGTTTATTGAAACACGGGACTAGTATCGTCACAGTTCATATACCAACCAAGCCACTGAACGTTCACTTGCACATCTCCTACGTCCATGTACTTCGAAGACCTATGATCGCTCCCATGATCGCTCACACTGCTGTCTTGGTCTTCTAAGGCCACACCTAACACAGGACCCAAGACAGTTTCTGATGTCGCATCGACAGTTTTGACGCTCAGGTCTGAAACATCATCGGATTCATTGCCGTCATGATCTGTTGTTGTGCAACAACCCTCGATGATGTCTTCCTCCCCTCCTTCCTCCTCGTCCTCCACGGCCTCCTCCTCCCTCCTCCCCGCACCCCCTTCTCCTGCGCTGCCCTCCCCCCTTCCGCTCCCGCTCCCTTCCGCCCGCACTCCCCCGTTGTAAGGCCAGCGGCTCAGCCCCAGCCTCCTGCATGCGATCTTCAGGCTGGTCAGCGACACTCCCTGAGCATGCCCGTTAGTACAAGGTTGTGTGCGCGAGAGGAGCAGGCGAGGACTCACCAGGGAGCGAGCGGCGTTGTCTTGACGCATGTGGAACATGGAGGACAGGAGGTTGAGGTCGATCTGGACGGACTTAATTTTACGGAGGAGGCCATGGCGGGATCGTGCGTTGATGGTAACAACTCTCTCAGCTTCCATCTTTGAGAACCAGTATTCTAGCAGTGCTTATGCTCGCAGTGTGACGTCCGAAATGTTTCTTGCAATCGTTAACTGTGCTTTGATCTCACTTCTTGTTGAGGATGACACGCTGTAGCTGATTGAGAGCAGAAGGAATCCGGATGCTTGCGACCTTGAGGATCAAAATACGAGCAATTCTTCGTTTAGGAGGAGGAAGGGAGCTCCAGGTGAACAATGTGGAGAGGAGCGGAAGGAAATCAGGTCTGTGGGTAGGGTCCTCCTATCTCCGGATACCCACACCAGAACGGGTACTTATCCGAGGAATGTAGGGGTACTCAAGTATGGGTACGAGGGAGCATGGACTTTTGAAGGGAGGGGTCCATGCAGCAGAAAGCGCACCGTTCGGGCCCTAACTCCGTCTGTACCCAAAAAACAGACTCAGATCCGCACCAAATAGTAAAATATAATTAAAACTTATTTTAGCCGACCTTGTTCGGAGGTTCTCTCCGTCAAGGTCGTTATGACCCTTACCCCCCTTTATTCCAGAATAGTACCCACCTTATTGAGTTCCGCCGTGAAAGCTTCGACTCCTCTTGCCCATGAGTCAGTCCGGCGGCCCATTCTCGTGCCCCCGCTGACGGTCATCCGGTCTCATGATGTCTTTACCACACATATCTCTCAACGGTACGACCTTCTATTGTATGCTCTCGAGCCTTCGGAAACAGACTCTATGTCAGCAATTCGTCGGGATAACTCATAATCACGAGGCCACACATATCCGAAGGGGTCAGGGGGCTCATCAATTAGCGACTGCTGACCCCTGCGTCATGCTATTGTCACGGGGTTAGGACAGTCGGGGCATGGCTGCAGATGGCTGTAGAAGATTCGACTTGACACGGTGTTGCCCGTGGTTGGTTCGGTGCATTTTGAAAAACACAGACGGGCAAACAAGAAAGCGATCCGTTGGTAATAATGACTCGAAGAACTTGATGATGGTCAATGACTGTACGGCATGGTTCAAGTGTTGTGTTGTATTCAAAAACTGTGCAATACGAGGTGAATGTACAAACAGGGAAGATTTAGAATAATCAACAGCCCAGCCCCGCTCGGAAGAATGTGCACTACAACAACAGACACCCGGTCGGGCTTGATTGTTTGTTTATGGTCTATATTGGACTAGAATCATCACTTCGCAAGAAACAACCCAACCATCGCATATCACTGATGCTCACATCACCAAAGTCGTACTTGAAATCTTCCGTGACCATCTCTTCTGCAACCTGTCCAACAACGACATCTGCCCTTGTATCTGATAATTTTGCAACGGGGGACGAATCCAGTTTGGAGGGAGCAGGCCCAAGGTCCGCATACTCTTCGCACGTTTCCACCTTCATCTCAGGTTTCTGCAGGCTAGCTTCTGATTCATTCGATCCTTCGGAAATCTCACCCTCACTCGCCTCTTCCTCCCCTCCTTCCTCCTCGTCCTCAACGGCCTCCTCCTCCCTCCTCCCCGCACCCCCTTCTCCTGTGCTGCCCTCCCCCCTTCCGCTCCCGCTCCCTTCCGCCCGCACTCCCCCGTTGTAAGGCCAGCGGCTCAGCCCCAGCCTCCTGCATGCGATCTTCAGGCTGGTCAGCGACACTCCCTGCGCATGCCCGTCAGTACAAGGTTGTGTGCGCGAGAGGAGCAGGCGAGGACTCACCAGGGAGCGAGCGGCGTTGTCTTGACGCATGTGAAACATGGAGGACAGGAGGTTGAGGTCGATCTGGACGGACTTAATTTTACGGAGGAGGCCATGGCGGGATCGTGCGTTGATAGTAACAGTTGTTTCAGGAGTTTCAACATTACTGGCATTGCTGTGTGCACTTTGTGATGCGAAGTTGATTTCGTGCTGCATAGAAATGGACATGCTGGCTAGTTTCACGATCTGCTGAAAAATAAAGTTGATACTGGAGATAGGTGATCAATTAGTCCTGTTCGTGGATCTTCGACACGCTGTCAAGACTGTATACTGCCAAGTTGATCGAGGCAGGTAGGAGAGGCTCGCAGCGACAGTCGGCAGGAGAAAGAAGAACAGTCGGCAGGAGAAAGAAGCAAGACAATAAGAAAAGTCAAGGGAGGAAGAGAAGTTGGTATCGTCACTGGCACGTGAGCTTGAGGAGGAGGCACCTGAAGGGGCGGGGAGAGCGTGGGAGGCGAGGGGTAGGGAGAAGTATTAGTAGCTCAAGGTGGGAGGGCGTGATGGTAGCGTGCGGGGCGGAGCTGACCGGCTCGAACTGAAATCTTTTCGCAAACGATACTTCGCGAACAAACAACGTTTGAGGGAAGGTCACGAGGTGTGCTATAATATGTTTTAGCTGTGTGGTAAGGGTAGGAGGTCACCTCCGGAGCCGGAAGGTCCTTGAGAGTCCATCAAGAGCCCGCCTCAGAATCATATCTCAGTGATGTCGTGTGCGCCGGGCCGGGCTGACCGTCACAGCGGCTCGGCCGGCTCCCGGCCCTGTGACGGAGTATCATATCGGACTCGGGAGGACAATCAGGAGCGGGCCTGGACTAACTTAGTAATAACCCGACCCTGACAGTGATCGGACTGTCGCACACACACTGGCCAGGCCACACGGTGAGACTCTGAGAGAAACTAGAAAAGCCGCGTGACAGTCGGATGACTATCTGCGGCCAGGGCACAGCCGCAAACTTGAAAGAGCAAGCCTTTGACTCGCCGGATCCGGACGGTCTCGACGCCGGGACCCGGGCGCCCGGCACTGCCGCAGTGCGGCACGGACGGGGCCGCCGCGCCGCCGGTACAGTGACGGTACGTCAGGCCATGCCGGTCACTATCACTGTCATGTGATCTCTACTGACATTCACTTATACTAGTACAGGTTGAAAGTTGTACAACATATACATGGAAGGTGTTGAACGTGCCAGACAGGCTGTGGCTGCTTGAAGCATGTCCTAATTCTTCTTCTCCGTCGTGAGCTTGCGTTTTAGTCCCCTCCTGCCAGGCAGTCACCTCCGAGCCTCATGAATGCCTCCATGATCATCCCTAATCCCCTCCTCTCTCTCTCTCCTTCCCTCTCTTCCTCGCACAACGACAGGCCCTTTCCTCCACTTCACCCTCCTCCACCTTGTCCTTCCAGAGATCTACCCGCCTCTTTCCCCCTAGCTCCGGTTATCTCCTCCGCTCAGACTCACCTTCTCTTGTCATCCTGACCCTCCGAGTCGAGCTCCAGCATCTGAACTCGGGCCAGCCTCTTCGCTTTCATGACCTTGAGGGGTGGGGGCAGTCAGCAGCTCCTTGCAGACTGAGATCACCGGCGCTTACCTCCGACATGCTCTCAAGAACTTCCTCCTCCTTCAGCCCAAAGTCCTCCAGCTTCTTCTCCGTCTCTGCCTCGATGTTGTGGACCAGCTCCACCTTCAAGGCCAAGTCACTCGGGGCGGGGAGGATGCAGGAGAGGAGCAGGCGGGCTCACGTCGTACTGGGTGACGAGGGAGACTGCTGTTCCCGTCCGCCCTGCACGAGCTGTACGTCCGACCTGTCGGAAACGTCAGGTAGGCAGAGACGAGGAGCAGGAGGAGGAGGAGGAGGAGGAGGAGGAGGAGGAGCAGGAGCAGGAGGAGTTGTCACCCGATGAATGTAATCTTTTGCGTCATTTGGAATGTCGTAGTTGATAACCTAGAGAAAAAGAATATCATCAGGCAGGCAGCTTGCGCTTGGAATCGGAGGGGCGAACCAAGTCCACTTTGGGAATGTCCAGCCCTCTGCTCGCAACATCCTAAAGGGAAAATAGGAGTACGTGGTCAGAAGGTAACAGGAGGGATAAAATCGTGAGGAGCAGACAACAAGAGTCTCAGATGAACGTATCATCAGCTCGCGATCAGTTGCATGTCTTAGTGTTTGATTTTGGTGTATCATCAATGTGCTCCATGACTTCCCTTCCCTCTACCCCATCGCATCATCGTTATGCAGACTGACCGTGGCTACGAGGATGCGGCACCTCCCTCCCTTGAACCGATCCAGGGCTGCTAGACGCCGGTTCTGCCGGGAATTGAGGAGGACAACAAGGCAGGAGCAGGGGATATCCTCACCTGCTTCAAACCAGAGTGGATCGAACAAACTTCTTCTTTCAGTTCCTTCCCATCATCCAGTGAGCATCCCCAGCAGACTTCTAGCAGCTTTACCTCTAGAAGCAGCTGGACAAACACGCAGGTCGTCTTTCTCCCGACAAAGATGATCATGGCCTTGGCTTCGCTGTTCCTCACCAAGTGCACCAAGTATACATCTTTGACCATCTTTGGCATGTGCAGGTACTGAGAGCACGTGTCAACCCTTCTAAATCTTGCACATTCCCTCTCAAAACAAAAGGAAAACAAGGTTGCACACCATCTCACGGACTGTCCGAACAGTCGTCTTAGGATTGTCGGCCTCGTACTCAAAGCAATTCTGACACGGGAAGGGAATGAGATAGGGAAAGAGAAGAAAGGTCTACCACCTTCATAGCACCGAGATGCTTCAGCTCCTCTATGCTCGCTGTGATTGTTGCAGAAAACAGGTAGGTAGAGCGATTCTTGGGCTGTTTGCAGCCCAGTCAAACAACGACGACGCAGCAAAAGACAAGCTCCACCAGAGCGTCGAGGATGTTGGCCAACTCGGTTTCGAAGCAATCTTCCAGCAGTCTGCATGATCTCTCAGATCCTGTACGACACTCCGTACGATCTCTTGCACACCTGTCCGCCTCGTCGAGAACTACCACCCGTGTCCTTGCGAGAGCCTCCTGCAGCCCGACGTCAGAGGGGTCAAGACAGCTGTCATGCGCGTCACCTTCACGCCAGACGAGCTGTTGATGTGATCGGACAACCTCCCTGGCGTTGCTATCACCACGTGCGGTCGCTTGCACAGCTCTACCGCCTGCTTCATCATGTCCAGACCTCCAACGACCACACAATTCCTCAGCTGTATCCTGGAACCGAGCGCTACAAACTGATCCTGGATCTGAAACGCAAGCTCTCTCGTTGGCGTCAAGACGACGGCAAACACCCCGTAAGGGTCCTTAGAAAGCTGCTGGATGATGGGGAGGGCGAATGCGGCTGTCTTGCCGCTTCCGGTCTCGGCGGAAGCAAGAATATTCCTTCCTGCCAGTGCAGGAGGGATACAATTCCATTGCACGTCTGTTGGCCGTTTCAGTCCAACAGCGTTGCAAGCAGCGACCAGCCAGTTCTCAATGCCCAAAGAAGAGAACTCTCGCTCCTCTGCTTCATTCATCACGATGCTCTTCTTGTTCCCCGCCGCGTCTGTGCGAGCCTGCTGCTTTCTCGCATCTAGCTGTTCTGATTTGACAGTCCTCATGTTGAGAGATTTTGCCTTGGACTTGTCTCGATTACTCACTGCTGAGTTTTGTCCCTTCGGCCTGGTCAAGGAAGCAAACAGCTGAATTTGCCCACTGCCAGCATCATCATCGCTGTCCCTTTGTGCGGCACCTTCAGACTGAATGTGGTCTTGGGACGAAGGCTCCTCCATATCTCCTTCCTCCTCCTCCTCCCTCTCCTCCTCCTCCCTCTCCTCCTCCTCCCGCTCCTCCTCCTCCCGCTCCTCCTCCTCCCGCTCCTCCTCCTCCCGCTCCTCCCGCTTCTCCTCCTCTTTCCTCCGCTTCCTCAACGACCCCATGGCAGCGCACGTGCGCTCTGACGTTCGCTCGGACAGAATGGTCAGTGAGGGGATGTGGATCGAAAGTTGATGAGCAAGTCCCCCTCAGTGAAGCGATATATATATATATATAGCGAGTATTTTAGAAGTATTTAGCATTATATCTTTAGAATACCATATCTACGGGAGAAAGATTCTTGTATGGATTTTTGCGTCAATGGTAGTTTAATAATTTATTTTGTACTTATGAATTGTTTTTAAAAACCAAATATTTTGTATGAAAAGCTGGCCCAAGATACAAACTTTCATACTAAAATTTGCATATGATTTTAAATATAATTAGTATTTTCAGTATTGAAATATAATCGAATTTATAAAATTGCAATCGACCAAATCAGTGTTTGAGAAAAACAATTTTTAATTGCCGCGGCTAAAAGTATCATGCACAGTCACACTCACCCTGCTGCCTGCCTCTCTTACTCCTCTCCCTCTCCTCTTCCCCGCCTCCTCCTCTCCTCTTTCCCCCATCTTCCCCTCTTCTTCCCCTCCTCTTCCTCTCTCTCTTCCTCTCCTCTTCCCCTCCTCTTCCCCGCCTCTTCCTCTCCTCTTCCCCTCCTCTTCCCCTCCTCTTCCCCTCTCTCTCCCTCTCCTCTCCCTCTCCTCTTCCACCCTCTCTCCCTCTCCTCTTCCCCTCCTCCATCGTCAGCCATCTATCAGACTGACTCGCATCCATCAGCTGTTATCCTCCTTCCTCTCCTCTCCTCTCGCTTCCCCTGCCTCACAGCTGGCCCTGATCATGTCTTTTCACTGCGCCGGTCGCCTCAACGCTTTTCTCCTCTGTTCTCGAACGTCATAACCTTCATCTGCCCTCTAGTCGTCTTTCATCTCATCTCTCCATCCCTTAGCTTCTGTCTACATGTAGTCCAGATTCGCACTTCTGATTTCTCCCGCCATGTCTTACTGTCCGTCACTGGTCAACAGCGCTGTGTTTTTGTCGTTGAAATTAGAACATACATACATCCCTCCCTGTTGCATGATAGCTGATTCTGATGCTGATGCTGATGCTGATGCTGATGCTGATCCTCATGTTTGGCATGCATTCTTTCCCTCCGAAACCTGCACGATGGATTCCAAAACTAGGTTTTTAATATTCTTTCAGCTCAAATAGTTTTCAGCGCGTTTTCTTTTGCCGTTGTATCGGCTTTCTCTGATACCTTTGCTTTATCTACAGATCATAACCAGTTTGATCCCATGCGGGGTGTATTCATATGACCGGGAATGTAAGCTGCAGCTGCATTCGAGAACCTGCCTTTCATACTTGAAACTGAATCGAATTTGGTTGCGCTTGTTGTGAGAATCGATTGGTACAAGCAAGATGAATGAATGCGAAGAGAATGGAAACCATAGCAGAGAACCAGATGCCACCTCCAGTCCGGACGACTTTGAAGGGGACGAAGAGGCGAACGATCCCAACGGAGTCGACCATGAAAGTGGAGGCAACGTGCCACATCAGTGGAGGGACAAGATGTTGAAGAACACACAGCAGAAGTCATCCTTTGAAGTTGAACTAGAAAAGGGCTTCAAGAAATTTTCAGGGCCAAACATCCAGACAAGGTTCAATGATGACATGCCCTGGCAGCCTGCGAATGCCGGGTACATGGAAAACGACAGTCCGTTCGGCGAAAGGCAAGAGGACGAAGATCAGTCCGCTGATGATGCTGCTGCACAGAAGAAAGCCATGTTCCGCAGGCGAATCGCAAAGCAGGCAGAAGTGCATAGCTCCTTCGAAACGTTGAAGGAGACAGATGCTGCGATTTTTTCACGTTCAGGTAGGCGAATGTCGGAAAATCAGTCCAGAGATGAATCGCATTTCGAATCGAGGCCTGTCGATCCTGTGGAAATGCGACGAAGAGCCTTCAGAGAAAGGATCGTCAAGGAGGGCACTGGTGAACCTGCTGAACCTGAAGCATACAAGCGAAGCTCGTATGACACGTCTCGTTCCACTTTTGCCAAGGCCTCTGATGGTGACTTTGGAAGTGAAAATGAGAGAGATTCGTCACGAAGTCCTCGTCCTGTTGAATTTGACAGTGGCTCTTTTAACGAATCTTCCCATATTAGGCGACGAAGGATGTCGAACCGCAATGTTCCGGTAGTTGCACATGAAGAAATCGAAAAAACTGGCGGATTGCTGTCGCCGACACGGGAACATTTTGATGCAGTTTTGGCTCGCTTGCGGAGCTTTGGGGACTTCACAAAGAAGAAAGAAGATCCAGCACCGAGAATTACTCGCTTCCTTGCGAAACATTCCTTTGCAGGACCTGAACAGCTTGGAGGTCTCCTGAAGGCACTTGATCTCGACTGTGACGAAGAGGAGAAGGAGCTCTTGCAGTTTGCTTTCATGTGTCCAGTTTGTGACACCCCATTTGCGCCATGCACCACATTGTCCGATCAAATACGAGCAGTCACTGATGCCTTCAGACTGATCGATGCAGATGGCAACGGAATCATTACTCTCACGGATCTGCGCGACATCGCATCCTGGGCGTCCGATGACAGTGGGACAGAGTTCATCAACAACCTGGTACAAGAGCTGCAAACATGGCAGATGGAGCGTGGAATGGTTGCAGAGGAAGACACTCCTATCTCAGGCAAAGACTTTGTTCTGGCGTTTGCACGGTGCCTGAGTCATGAAGAAGCCGAGATGGAGGAGATTTTGGAGCAGCGAGCCGATGAATATCGCAAGATAGGGAAGCTTTTTGGGATGGAGCGTGTTCAGAATCATTTTTCGTGGAACAAATTTTGGCTGACGCTATTCTCGGACGCTCTGGCACCCATATCATTCCCCCTGTGTAAAGTCCTGGATTGGATGCAAACTGATGACGACGAGGAGGCTTCGTTTTACGACATTCTCACGGAATCTCAATGGTTACCTGAACCACACACCTCCTTCGATTCGTTTCAGCATTACCTTATGACCCTGTGGGTGCCTTCTGTGTTTTCGTTACTCGTGTTCTTCATGTTTCATTCTGAGATGGACTCTATTTCAATCATGGAAGTCTTGTCTCCTTTCACCATGTACATCATTATCGGGACGTACATTGCAACCATTTCCGGCTATGAACATCCCAAGCTTGTGTTGCGACGTCTGAATATGCATTTGAGCTCTGAGGTTAGACAGAACGAGCTGCATGCTGTTTTTGCCTTCAGGGCTCACACGCCCGAAGGACACGCGGTGGACCAGATCGGAGCTATAGCAGATGTCCTGTTCAAGAACAAGTTCAGCTGGTGGAGCCAGACGGCTGCGGCCTTTGCAGGATTAGCCCACGGAGTTACTCCGATGCTTCACAGGTTGTTCATGTACGCATCTCGAACCGAGAAACCGACCGCAAAGTGTTTCTCTCCCCATGAGACGTGGGATCAATTCTATACCGAGATGTTCTATCTGCTCTGCGGTGGGCACTCTTGGGCACACGCCCTGGTTTCCATCCCTGCGGCGGCAGTCTCAGGTTACTTGACTTACCGTCTTCTCTTCATCACTTCCGTTGGTTTCTACAATGACTTGAGTTTCTACTACAAATTAGTCTTGTTCCGTGCTACAACGCAGGCAGAGCCTTTCCTACGATACCGAGCGAGGTGGCTACGTGCACAGAGGAAGATGCCCGAGTACCGAGGACGGAGGGAGTTTCTTCAGTTCCTCAACCTGCAGAAGCACGACGATCTTGTGTTGTGGTGTAGGATACGACATCTCCTCATGGACTCGTACTCAGGATTCAAGTCGAAACAGGGAGACATTATGGTGACCTTTATGCTTTTGTGGGTGTTGGCGTACACCTCCTACATCTTCTTTTTCCAGATCGGAAGAGAAATCCGAGATCTTGGGGTGTTTGACTTGTGGGCTCGCCTCGACGTATTTTGCTTCAGTCTACTGCTCATCGCCATCATCAACCTGAAGCTGAAGATTCATGGGCTCAGGAAGAGCGACATCTCGCTGCTCCACAAGGAGCACTACGTCGCCTCCATGTCTGCGGGCATTGAGACTGTGAGCGCAGCACGTCAGGCTCAAGAGGAGGAGAACATGATGATGAACAGGCAGCCCTACCTCCCTCGACGAGGAGAGTCGCCTATGGGCTCTATTCGCTTTCCCTCCCGGGGTCCGTCGAGACCCACGTCTCCCGTCGGGAGTATTGCGCGTGCTCCTTTCAGCAGGGTTGCAAGCGCTGCCATGCCCTTACAGCCGCCCAACGTGTATGCCATGGGGGAGAACCTGAGCGAGCCTCAGCTTCTCCCTCCTCCCGAGAGGTTCAGGCGAGGGTCAAGAAGAGGCTCGACCGCAGTGCAGGCGGAGACCAGCGACCAAGGCGAGCAGAACAAGTTCAACGATCGACGAGACATCATCAGGGAGATGCGCAGGAGGCCGTCGGTGACGGACAGCGAGCCCGAGCACGACGGGCCTCCCGGGTACGAGCACAACCACATGAACCACTATGCAGGAGAGATGGATCGTGGGTGGGAGAGCCTCGAGGAGCCGGAGCCGATGTATGGTCAGAGGGATCCCGGCGTGCCGCGACGGCTACCGAACCCCATCAACGACATGCGACGAGGAATGCAGCAGAACTTCGGCTGGAACGAGGATGAGAATGCGATGCAGTTCGGAGGGCAGTGGCCTCCCCAGGCTCGCAGGGGAGGATTGGCTCCTCCAAAGGGCATCGAGAGCGCCGAGGTGGTTCAGAGCCTCTTGGAACAGACAGCTCGCTTCATCCAAGAATTCGATCGCCCACCCGCTGCTCAGCTTCACCGTCTCCATCCACTTCCTCCGCTACATCTTCCTCCCGCTGCTGTCCCCTGTCATCGCGCTGTTCCGGTCTCATTTACAGAAGTCTTAGGGCGTACTGGACAAGTTCGTGTGCAATGCAGAGGCTGCTGATGAGATTGGCACGAGAAGAACAAATCAAATGTATCGACTTCGTTGTTTCCTTGACATGCTAATGTACAATCTGTGCTGCTTCACCCGCCTCATCCCTCCCTCCTTCACCACTTCTTCCTTCACTTCTTCTGTCTCTTGCGAACTGATCTCTTCTCCATCCGCTTGCGATGCGCGAAGAAGGCAAGGGAGGCGAAGAGAGCGATCAGGACCCCGATGCCTGCTCGCTATGGTCAACTTGTCCTTCCCCCCCCTCCCCTCTCCTTACAGGTTGTCAACCCGACGAGAACGTTCTTGGCTGTGTCAGTCAGCTTGGGCGGAGCATAAGTTGCCGTCTCCATCTACCACCGAGTGAGGAAAGATGGCGGTCAAGAGAGTAAAAGGTGCGAGGGGGAATCAGGAGAAGGGAAGAGGAAGAGGATGAGGAGCAGTAGGGTAGGACACACACACGTCGTCAGCTCACCTGGATGGTGATGAGATGGTACGCTGCTGTCTGATTGGTCCCCTCGTCCCGCACCACGATGTTGATCATATAGACCTGTCCGGGTTCAGGAGCAGGAGCAGGAGCAGGAGCAGGAGCAGGAGCGGGAGCGGGAGCGGGAGCGGGAGCGGGAGCGGGAGCAGGTATTACATTGTTTCGATCTTCGGATAGTCCCAGCATATCGAAGGAGAGCATGCCGGTCACAGGGTCCTGCCAACCTGACATGAGCCTCCTTCCTTGCATGCGCTATTCCACTCCCTCCCCCTTGCCTTTCACGCCCTCACCCCCTGCTCCCCCCGCTCCTCCTGTTCCCTGCTCCTCCAATCTCCTCCTGCCCATGTTCCCTCACCTGGTTCAGCTCCTTGCTTGTCCACCAGACGCCGTCGGGCCCGCTGGTGTTGAATGAGTTCTTGAGGGCGAGCCATCCCCCATCCTGCACGAGGGGCCTCGTCTCCACCCTGACAGCCAAGTCATCACCAGACCCACACTCAACCATCGATGCTGTCCCGCTGTTCCAAACGTGGTTGCTCCTGCTCCTGCTCCTGCTCCTGATCCCGCTCCTGCTCCCGCTCCTGCTCCCGCTCCCGCTCTTGCGCCTGCTCTTGCGCCTGCCCCTTTCTCTATCTTCTTCCCTGGGTCAACCCACTTTTCTGCATCATCACCTTCTTGTCCGTCCAAACCGATTGGCTGTGGTGTAGAGGCCACATGACGTCCACATTGTGAAGTTGGTCGGGTCCTTGAGGTAGGAATCGATCGGACTGCCGTCAGCGTCATGGAGGATGAGGTGCAGGTTCAGCACAGCAACCGCTCTGTCCCGTTGAGAGCCTCCTTGAGCTTCAGGACGCTGGCAGCGATCTCTGTGCAGTTGGAAAGGAACTGCTTCGGGCATCGCGGGTAGGACGTCGGGCAGCTGCGACAGTCATAGGAAGTACAGGGCCCCTGCCTGCTCATCGACGCTCCTTGTCAGCTCAACCAGAAGCGTCGAGGAGAGTTTACCCATTGGGCTGGACTGTAGGGCAGAGAGTGGGCTTGAGGACGTCAGCAAAAGCTCCTGGAGGATAGGCGGAAGGATTGACGACCCCCTTGGCCTGAAGGAGAGTGATTAGCAGGAGCAGGAGCAGGAGCAGGAGCAGGAGGATCAGTAGAAAGAGAGGGTATCGTAACCGAAATTACCTTGCCAATGTTGTACTCAACACCAGAGGTCCCCACGAAATCAGTGATGTCTTTGATATAAATCTTAAACAGCATATTTCATTGTCTGTTCCAGTCCCACCCCTTTCCTCTCATCTTCCTTTCCTACAACCAGCCCCATGACCACTCTCTTTGTCCTCCCCTTCCTGGTTAACTCCCCTTCCTGTCGCTCCCCTTCCTGGTTAACTCCTCTTCCAGGTTTCTTCCTTCCTCCTCCCTCCTGTCTCTCCACCTGATAAGAGAAATTTTCACTGACATTCACTTCCCAAGGACAGCTGGTCGCTTTCACTCCTCCCTGCAGCGCAGCAGAGAGTCAAGGGAAACAAAGAGGAGGAGGAGGAGGAGGAGGAGGAGGAGGAGGAGAAGGAGACGTACCTTTCCGGGAGGATACCAGCGGATTTCTGACTTCGTGTCGTTGACTTGCAAAGCAACTCGCAGCCCACTGCAAGGAATCCGTCATCGTCACCACCACCTTCACCACCTGCTCCTGCTCGAGTAGCTCGAGCTCCTGCTCCTGCTCCTGCCCTTGCTCCTCCTCGCGCTCTACCGTCATTAGCACCTCCTACCCCATCTCCCCCTCTCCTTTCTCCTCTCTCAAGAAAAAATCTCACCCTAAGATTCTGTCCTGCAGTGTTGTCCTCGGAACGCTGTAGATCTGAAGAGAGGAGGATGAGCTCGACTGCTGGCAGGAGACGACGAAGGAGAGGGAAGGAGAGAGAGGGGAAGAAGAGAGGAGGGAGAGAGGAAGAAGAGAGGAGGGAGAGAGGAAGAAGAGAGGAGGGAGAGAGGGGAAGAAGAGAGGAGGGAGAGAGAGAGAGAAGAGGAGGAGGGAGAGAAGTTACAGTTCTGTCCCATCCGCAGAAATTTTCGAGAGGGTTCAGAGCCTCGAGGGGCATCACTGACACGTCGAAGATCTTTACAGAACGATCGTAAGGAAGACCCCGAGGAGAGAAGCTGTCGGTGTCAGGGAGGGGGGAAGAAAGAATAAATGTTGAGGAAAGGGGAAGGAGAGTAGGGGAAGAGGAGGGATCGGAGGGAGGAGGAGGAGATTGAGGAGGAGGAGGAGGTGGTGGTGGTGGTGGTGGTGGAGGAGGAGGAGGAGGAGGAGGAGGAGGAGAGGGTAGGAGGAGGATCTTGAGGGTTGGGGGGATAGGCAGGGACGGGCTCCTTACCTGAGCTTGCAGATGGAAGCTTGCGTAGGTATTGAGGCCATCCAGCGAAGGGTATGGCTCAGAGAAATGAGAGATCTGATTCCACGTTACGCGCTGAATGCGGAAGGGCCTCCTCCCTCCCTCCCTCCCTGCCTCCCTCCCTGCCTGCCTCCCTGCCTCCCTGCCTCCCTGCCTCCCTGCCTCCCTGCCTCCCTGCCTCCCTGCCTCTTCACCTGGCCAACCCATCCCTTCCTCCTCCTTCAGCTATTTCTACCCTCCTTCACCAGCTTACTCCCCATCATCTTCCCATTCACTCCTCTCTGTTCTTCTCTCTCAGTTTTCCTGGTCCACCCTTTCCCTCTCCCGTCACCTCCAGTCCTCCCTCCTCCCTCACCTCCACGAAGTAAGTCTTGTGCGTGAGTTCCAGGACCAGAGACTCGACGTCTCCCACCCACTCCCATGATGGAGGAACAGGCTTGCCCTGATGTCCAGTTCAAACCCCCGTATGCAATCTTCCTTCCCCCTCCCCCTCCCCCTCCCCCTCCCCCTTCCCCTCCTCCACCTCCACCTCCACCACCGCGACCAATAACACCACGTCTTCCATCTACTACTCCCCTCCTCCCCCTCTTGTCTACCGACTCCTGACACATGCTGCGGAATCTTGGATGAGGATGAGGAGGAGGAGGAGGAATGAGGTTCCCACTCCAAACTGCCAGCCGA